GCTCCTTTGCTGTTGTTAAACAGCCCGCCTTTTCTTTTGTTCCTGTTAACCTCACTATTCCCTGGTTCAATGATCCTGGTTACGCTGTCATTCGAGCAGCTAATGAACTTATATTAGCTCGCGCCAAACGCTTTATTAGAATGCTAATTGCAGGAATAGCTGCCCTTATAACTCTTATAGCCACGGCCGCCACGGCTACTATTGCCCTAACAGAAGGAATTCAGACAGCAAATTTTGTTAATAAATTGTCTCATAATATTTCTGTAGCTTTTCAGACTCAAGAAGATTGGGATCGGAAGATAGAACAAAAGTTGAATGCCCTCTATGACACCGTCAGAGTCGTGGGGGAAGAACTGAATTCTCTTGAAGTTCGGTCCTCATTGAAGTGTCATGCCATGTTTTCTCACATTTGTGTTACCCCCTTCCTTTACAATTCTACCATTTTTCCTTGGAATAAGATATGTAACCATTTATTAGGTGTTTGGCATAACTACAATACTTCCTTAGATCTTGCTGCCCTACACAAGGAAATCCGAGACCTAACAGTAGCACCGCCTATAGATGTCGATATTGCTCGAGACGCTCAGAATTTTCTGTCAGCCTTAGCTAAGCAGTTCCCTACCTTTAACCAGCTCATGTATAATTAGATTAGTGTTGGAATCTTTATACTCTTGTTCCTCTTGCTGATACCCTGTGTTATTCGAGTTTTTGTAAGCCAAATGAACGGCTTATATGTCGACCTGAAGCGGCAAAAATTGGATATGACCAAAAACAAAGTTCCACTATGTTATATAAAGTAAAAAAGGGGGAGATGTTGGAGCCCAAGAGGCCTGTGAGGGGTCGAGGATAGGGTCTAGCACTGGGGGTGTGGTGACTGGGCTTGGTTTCCGGCCTCGGGGCTATCTTGGGTTGTAACAGTTCTCTGACCCCTTGAGAAAGTAGCCGCTTCTCCCAGCAACTCATATCTTTGGCCTGTGCATCATGTACCCAGAAAGTATGCTAGCTTGGGAACGTCCGGACTCTAAGAGAAGAGATAAACTTTGTAAGTCAAGGAAGTGAGCTACGTGCCAGAAGGCTTCTCCTTTGTATCCAAGATTGTATATAAGCCAGAAGACTGCGCAATAAACTTGCCTTATGCCAGCAGAGCATATGGTCCTCTCCTTTATTTCAGTCCCTCGCTCAGCCTCACGACCACCCTTGCCACAGCGGGCTGCGGCATATATTTTGGTGCTCCTATGTTGGGTGCATATATATTTATGATGTTAATGTCTTCTTGGTGGATTCTTCCCTTGAGTATTATGAAGTGACCTTCTGGGTGTCTTTTTATGCCCCTTTTTTTGAAGTCTATTTTGTCTGATATGAGAATTGCTACCCCAGCTTTTTTTTCTTGTCCATTTGCTTGGAAAATTTGTTTCCAGCCTTTCACTTTTAGTCTGTGATGGTCTTTTGTCCTGAGGTGGGTCTCTTGTAGGCAGCATATGTGTGGGTCATACTTTCTTATCCATGATGCTATTCTGTGTCTTTTGATTGGAGCATTTAATCCATTTACATTTAAGGTTATTATTGATAGGTACTTATTCATTGCCATTTTTGTACCTGTGTTCCTCTCTGTCTGTCTCTTTTCCTTCCTTTCCTTAAAGCAGACCTTTTAGTATTTCTTGTAGAGCTGGCTTGGTGGCAGCAAATTCTTTTAGACTTCTTTTGTCTTGGAAGCTCTTTATTTGGCTTTCTATCTTGATTGAGAGCCTTGCTGGGTAAAGTAGCCTTGGTTGTAGGCCTCTGGTTCTCATTACTAGGAATATTTCTTGCCATTCTCTTCTTGCTTGGAGTGTTTCCATTGAGAAGTCAGTGGCTAATCTTATTGGGACTCCCTTGTATGTTATTTCTTTTTTCTCCCTTGCTGCCTTTAAGATTCTCTCTTTGTCTTGGAATTTTGCCATTTTAATGATGATGTGTCTTGAAGTGGGCCTCTTTGGGTTCCTCTTGAATGGGACTCTGTGTGATTCCTGGATTTGTGTGACTTTTTTTTTTATCAAATTAGGGAAATTTTCTCTCATTACTCTTTCAAATATGTTTTCTATCCCTTGTTCTTCTTCTTCTCCTTCTGGTATTCCTATTATTCGGATATTATTACATTTCATATTGTCTTGCATTTCTCTTAATCTCTCTTCATTCTTTCTGAGCCTCTTTCCCTTTCCTGTTCTTTCTGTGAGATGCTTTCTACTTTGTCCTCTAACTCACTAATCTTATCTTCTGTTTCACCTACCCTATTTTTAATGCTTTCCACTGTGTTTTTTAATTCAGAAATCATATTCTTCATTTCCTCTTGGCCCTTGCTAATAATTTCCATTTCCTTTTTCATGTTGATATAGTTCACAGTGAGCTCATTGTAGCTCCCCTGTAGTTTCTGGTAGCTGATTGTGAGCTCTTTGAACTTCCTGATAACCAGTGCTTTGAATTCAGTATCTGATAGTTGACTTGCCTCTATTTCATCTAACATTCTTTCTGAGGATTCCTCCTTTCCTTTCATTTGGGGATTGTTTCTTTGTCTTCCCATTGTTTGTGAGACTCTTCTTGTTAGCCTCAGCTTCTTAGATTAATCTGTTTTGACACCCTGGGTTTATGGTATGAACTTTTGTGGTGGAATGCCTGTGAAGTTCAGTGGTGCAGCCTCTTTTGGTTATCCTGTTGTTCTCTGCTTCCACCTACTCAAATATGCAGCAACTTTTTGGCTTCTCTCCTACAACAATGTGCAATTTGTCTCTCTGACTGTACTATTGGGAGGCCTCTTCTATGGGTCCAGCTCTGGTCTTTTCATATTTTCAAGTTGATTGTGTCTCTTGTGGATAAAAGAAAGAAATGACAAGGAAAGAAATAAAAGGACGAAAGAAAAAATGGTAGGGGAATGGAAGAAAGAACAGTAAGTTTAGAAAGAAAAGAAAAAGAAATAAAACAGAAAATCTGGGTAAAGAGGACAAAAGTATGGAAAGATGAAACAGTAATAAAATTTAAAAGAAATAACAGATTACTTTAAAAAAACAAAAAAGATAAAAAAAGGAATGGAGAAGGAAGAAAGGTAAAAAAAAAAAGAAAGAATAAAAATAAAATAAAGTAAAGTAAAAAAAAACACCAAAAAACAAAAAAACGCACAAACAAAAATGATCTCTCAAAAACAACCTCAGAAAAGGAAATGTCACTTGTTGGCTTCGAACTAGCCGAACCGGTTTTTCTGGTTGCAGTTGGCTGAGGGTCGATTGTTGTGATTTTTTCAGCCAGCCCCTCTCAGGATCCAGACACTTGGCGCCTCTCCCCAGCTCCCTACAATGGGGAACTAGGACTTCCTCACAGCACTCCCCTCCCAGGGGTTACCGCCATAGGCTGGTTTGCTGTGTTTGCAGGCACCTGCACCGGCCTAGTTGCCTAGTTCCCTTGGGATTGAGCACAGGCCTGCCCCCGTTCAGTTGGGAAGCCCCCGGCCCTCTGCCCATTCCTGGGCTCGCTGCCAAGCTGGGTGTGAAGCAGACCAGGCTGCTGTGTCTACTGGATTCAGAGCCCCAGGCTGCACCTCTGAGTTCTCTTGGGCTGGCAACCACAGAGTCCTTGGTTGGGGCCCTTTGTCCTCCGCACCCTCTCCGCAAACGCTATCAAAAAAGTCTCTCCTCGCACCCCACCTTGCTTGGCCAGAAAGGGAGGAGGTTGAGGGTCTCAGCTCTTTTCCCAGGACTCCTCAGCTCCAGGGGCTTCCAGATAGTCTGAGGAGGGTGGACTGGAAGCCGGGAGCCGATCTGAGGACTGGGTGCCGACCCAGAAACTCTGTGCACATGTCGCGGCACGCTGCGTGGTGTGTATCCCTTCTGCTCCCGTGTTTGTCTGGTCCCCTGGCCAACCTCTGGCAAAAAAAAAACCTAGGGATGTAGCAGTACCACGCCGGGCGCTGGACCCAGAACTGTGTGCAGGCTGAAATCTCCTCTGCTCCCCTCTGGTTGGGTCTCTTGGCAGGTCCAGGCCCAAAAATCCTAGGGAGGGAGGTTTCTGCACGCTAAACATTGGCCTAGGCGCCCTCAGGCACTTGCCCAGACACACTGTGTGTGGAGCGAGTAGTTCCCCAAATTGCACGCGGGCTGAAATTTCTTCCACACCTCTTTGCCTGGGCCACTCGGCCTGCTCGGCAGAAAAATCCCAGGGAGGGAGCCGTCCAGGCGCTGAACGCTGTCCCAGGCGCTGAACGCTGTCCCAGGCACTGTTAGGCACTCTCCCGGACACAGGAAATTTTTCAAAAGAAAAGGAAGGAAGGAAGAAGGAAAAGAGGAAAAAAGAGAGATAAGAAAATGCGAAGGAATTTTAAAAAAAGAAAAGAAGAAGAATTTTTTTCAAAAAAGTCTTCTGCTGGCTGTAAACACATCATGCCAGTTCAGCTGGTGTTCCTGGCTGAAGCAGGCTGAGGAGGGAATCCTTCAGCAAAACCAATGGTTTTGCTCTTCCACCTTGATGAGCTGCACTCTTTGCTGTTGTCCAGCTTCCAGCCCAGTTTCCCAGTGCCCTTCTGTGTCTAGCCTAGGCCTTTAGTCTACCAGTTGTTCTGTCCTTGAGGTGCAGCAATTAGGGGCAACTCACACACCACCTTCTTGTTCTTTGCTCTCCCAGATGCTAGGGACTCTCAGTGCTCCTTCAGAGTAGTTCGGGTGCCCACTGAACCAAGTATTTCCAGGGGCTGCATCTCCCCTCTATGGGGCTTTTTTACCTTCCTCTTAGAAAGCCAGTTGGCACTGCAGGGCTCTGGGTGCAGGGGCCAGTTGAGAGGCACTCTGTCCCAGGTGTCTTGGGCGTGAGCACAGACAGGCAGCTTGGACCAGGTGTGCACCATCCCCAGTGTTTTCGGAGTAGGTGCAGCTTGGCCACCCCTGGGACTTAGACCTGATGCGCACCATCCCTGGTGCATCTGGAGTGAGCTTAAGCAGGCCCTGCTGGGACAGACCAGGTGCGCATCATCCTAGGTGCTTAAAAATATGGAACGTTTTATGAATTTGTGTGCCATCCTTGTGTAGGGGCCATGCTAATCTTCTCTGTTGTTCCAATTTTAGTATATGGGCTGCTGAAGTAAGAACTATTTTTTAAAAATTTATTTTGCCTGATGCACCTAGAAGTTCCAGTTACATTGAATAAAAGTAGTGAAAGTGGACACCCTTGTCTTATTTCTGATATTAGTGGGAAAGCTTTTAGTTTCTGCCCATTTAGTATGATTTTAGCTCTTTGTTTATTGTATATGAGCTTACTTATATTGAGGTATGCTTTCTCTACTCCCACTGTGCTGAGTTTTTTAACATAAATGGGTGCCGTACCTTATCAACTGCTTTTTCTGCATCTATTGATAGTCATGGGATTTTTGTATTTAATCTTGTTTATGTAGTGCATTACATTTATTGATTTGCAAATATGGTACCATTTGGATGAATTTGCAAATATAGTACCCTCAGATGAATCCACATGGTAATGGTGTATGATATTTTTAATGTATTGCTGGATGTGGTTTGCCAGTATTTTGGTGAGGATTTTAGTGTCTATGTTCATCAGCAATATTGGCCTGTATTCTTTGTTTCTTTGTCTTTCTTTATCTGGTTTTGGTATAAGGGTTATCCTGTCCCCATAAAAGAGTTTGGGAGTCTTCACTCAGCTTGGATTTTTTGGAATCATTTGAGCAGCATAGGGGTTATTCCTTAATTTTTTTGTAAAATTCACCTTTGAAACCATGTAGTCAGGGCCTTTTGTGTGCTGGGAGTTTTTAATTACTGCTTAAGTTTCATTAGCAGTTGTGGGTCTATTCAGGATTTCTGCTTCTTTTTCATTGAGTTATGGAAGATTATATATTTCTAGAATATTTTTTCATTTCACCCTTGTCATATTACTTGGCATATAGTTGCTCATAGTAATTTTTTACAATCCTTTGTATTCCTGTGGTATTGGTTGCCATTTCTCCTCTTTATTTCTGATTTATTTGGGTCCTCTTTTTTATTGATGAGTCTGATTAAAGGCTTGTTAATTTTGTTTATCTCCTCAAAGACATATTGATTCTTTGAATTATTCTTTTAGACTCTATGTCATTTAATTCTGCTCTGATCTTGGTTATTTCCTTCCTTCTACTCACTCTGGGCTTTATTTATTCCTCCAGTCCTTGTAGATGTAGACTTAGGTTTTTATTGGAAATGTCCCTATCTATATGAAATGTAGTCAGGCCTGTGTTGCTATGAACTTCCCTCTCAGGACTGTCATTGCTGTGTCCCATAGGTTTTGGGCTGTTGTTCATATTCATTGACTTCTGAAGCTTTTTTATTATTGTCTTGGATCATTGTTAACCCATTCATTATTTAATAGCATACTATTCAGATTCCATGAATTTAAATATCTTTGATTTTTTTCTTGAGGTTGGATTCTAATTCCAAGACCTTGCTATTTGAGAAAATGCTTGATATGATTTCAGTATTCTTGAATTTGTTGAGGCTTGTTTTGTGTCCTATCATGTGGTCTATCTTTGAAAATGTTCCATGTGCATTTGCAAGAATGTGTATTTTGCTCGTTTCAGATGAAAGGCTCTCTATATATATCAGTTAAGTGTTTTTGATCGAGGACATTGTTCAATGCTACAATATCTTTGTTTATATTTTGTTTGGCAGATCTATCCATTTTTGACAGTTGGGTGTTGAAATCCCCTACTCTAATTGTGTTGCTGTCAATATCTTTCTTGAAGCTCTCCAAGATTTTCTTTATGTATTTGGGTACTCCCATGATGGATGCATGCTTATTTACAATGTTTATGTCTTGGTGGATTCTTCTCTTTACTATTATGAAGTGACTTCCTGGGTTTTCCTTTATGGCTCTTTTTTTGAAGTGTATTTTGTCTGATATAAGTATTGCTACCCTGGCTTTTTTTCCACTGTCCATTTTCTTGGAAAATTCATTTCAGGCCCTTCACTTTTAGTCTGTGTAGGTCTTTTGTCCTGAGGTGGGTCTCTTGTAGGCAGCATATGTGTGGATCATGCTTTCTTATCCATTCAGCAATTCTGTCTTTTGATTGGAGCATATAATGTATTTACATTTAAGGTGGTCATTGATAGGTTCTTATTCATTGGCATCTTTTCATGTCTGTGTTCCTCTTTCTATCACTCTTTTTCTTTCTTTCTTAAAGCAGTCCCTTTAGCAATCTTACAGAGATAGTTTGTTGGAGGTGTAGTCTTTTAGTCTTTTGTCTGGGAAACTCCTTATTTGGCCTTCCATTTTAATTCAGAGCCTTGCTGGATAAAGTAATCTTGGTTGCAGGCCTTTGGTTTTCATTACTTGGAGTATTTCTTGCATTCTCTTCTGGCTCGGAGCATTTCCATTGAGAAGTCAGATGCTAGTCTTATCGGGGCTCCTTTGTATGTTACTTCCTGTTTCTCCCTTGCTGCATTTATGATTCTCTCTTTGTCTTAAAATTTTGCCATTGTAATAATGATGTGTCTTGCAGTGGGTGTCCTTTTGTTCATCTTGATTGGGACTCTGTGTGTTTCTTGGATTTGTGTGACTTTTTCTCCTATCCAATTAGGGAACTTTTACATCATTACTTTTTTAAACAGGTTTTTGATCCCTTGGTCCTCTTCTTCTCCTTCTGGTATCTCTATTATACCAATATTATCACATTTCATATTGTCCTGCATTTCCCTTAATCTCTCTTCATTCTTTCTGAACCTCTTTTCCGTGTCTTGCTCATTCTGGGTGTTTTTTTCTACCTTGTCCTCCAGCTTGCTGATTGGATCCTCTGATTCATTCAGCTTGCTTGTAATTCCTTCTAATGTGCTTTTTATTTCTGAGATTTATTGTTCATTTCCTTTTGTTTTTTTGTTCATAAATTCTATATTTTTTCATACTGTTGTAGTTCTTGCTTAGTTCCTCATAGTTGTCTGCATGTTCCTTGAGTATTTTTATAACCATTCTTTTGAATTCTATCTCTGGTAGTTTGGTTACATCCATTTCGTTTTGCTCTTTTAGTGAGTAGTTTTCCATTCCTTTTGATTGCATTTTTTTTGTTTCCCCATTATACATCACTCTTTTTGTTTCTGCTCCTCCTGATGTTTTGCTTTGCTAGCTGTCTTTGTAGGGTAAACTTCTATGGTAGGAATTCTATGAGGTTTAGTGGTGTGGTCTCTTTGATCTCCTTGTCTAGGTACTGTAAGTTTGCCCTTTCTTCTGTTTGTGTGGGCTCTCTTGTTGTACCTGGGGTTTTACCTTTTGGTGGTTCCTTTGTTGGTGGGTTCTTTCCTCCAGCAGGTATACTAATGTTCACTGCTGCCACCTATTCTTGTATGTGATCAGTAACAGGGGGTAGGCAAAATGGATTAAGACAGTGGGACAGTATTTTATAGGATATAAAGTACCAGCATGTAGAAAAGAGGCAGGAGATTCTTTGGATAAGTATAGCATTAACTTTGATATTTCTCCCAACTAACCACTTTTTTAAAAGGTGAAAGAGAGATAAGACTTGTTAGAGGAGAGGAGGATTTTGAGCTGAATCCAGAAAACAGCTCTTGTGCAAAGTTAGATGATGCGATATAGTGAGAATAAAGGAGAGAAAGTAGGTGTAGTGTGAGAGAGAATAGAGTTAACCGCAACAATATTAATGCTTGGGAATAAAGTGAAGTGGGTTAAGTTCATGGAAGTTTGCTGTGTAGTATATTACAATTGTATGGAACATCAATTCTTTATAATATTACTGGAACAACAATAATATGACAGGAAATATATGATTTGGATAACCAGAATAGAAAGTACTCAATCAAGAGTAGTGTGTTATTGGAAGATGAGTGATGTGAAAGAAGGAAAATTAAAATATATTAAAGAGAGAATAAGGAAAACCAGTCAAACAATGCAATTAAACAGAAAAATAAAACAAGGAAAGGTAAACAGGAGGAAGAGAAAAAATACTAATAAAATAAAAGTAGTAAAAATAATTAAGAATAATAATACACATAAACAATAAAATGCTAGCTGTATGGGATAGCAAAGTGACATTTGTCTCATTTTCTCAATTTTTGGGATTAGCCTGTGTTCTCCCTTTGGATGTCTCTGGACCTTTCATAACTCCATATTTTATTGTCTCACTTGGGGGAAGAAAAAAAGGAAAAAGCTTCCTGCTGACTTTAAAGCTGTTCAGGGAGTTCTGCTGGCTTTTCTACCGCCACAGGAAGAGGGGAGCTGGGCTTCACTTCTCTCCCTTGCTATGGTTTCCAGAGATTGGGGAGCAAGTCAGGGCTGCACACAGTTGCCTACCCTCTGGCCCAGGTTCTTTGTGTGCTGCCAGGCTCAAATCAGCCACTCAGTCTCTGGGCATGTAGTGAGAGTCAATCTTTGGTGCACTATTCCACTCAGACACTCAGCCTCTGTGCACACTGCCTGAGACAAGTGGGATGTGCAATTCCACTTAGCCAGTCAGTCTCTGGCACGCACAGCTCAAATCACCCTTGGGGCAAGCCAGCCACTGCTCAAGAGTTCCTTACGAAGCAGCTGCCCACTGTTCTTAACAAGTGCACAACTTTTCACACAGCCCACCTTTCCAGCCAGTCTGGAGACTATCCAAGACAGGGTCCAAAATGGCCCAACTCCTCCTTTCTCCAGATGTTGCCTGGTACCTCAATTTTTCTGGTGCTGGTGCCCACAGTCCCAGTGGATGTATACCACCTCTGTATATCTCCCACTTTGTCTCTATTCCCCCCAGCAACTTCCAGCATCCAGATCCCTTCTGGTGATGGGCTGCCCTCCATACTCTGGCAACCTAACTCTCCTCCCCATATCCTGTGGCCAGCTCGGGCTGGAGGCCACAGCAGCCTACATCCCTGTGCAGGTCCCAGGAACCTTACTGTCCCAGCACAGTCTCCTCACTGTCTGTTTTACAATCTCTACAATTTTTGGCCTCTAAACTTCATATAAGCTGGCATTCTGTTGGCTGTTCACTCTTCCTCAGATTAGCTAGGTGTTCCAGCTGGGCACAGGGAGAACTGGCCTTCCACTCCCACCTACCTTGCTGCCATCTTCTTGCCAATCCAGAGTCTTGTTCATAGCTGTTTGCAGCCCATCTCTT